TAAGGATCACACGCAATTGAAGTAGAACTTATTTGCTACTGTACAAAGTAGCAATTTTAAGTTAAGTAAAAATAAATACACCATAACAATTTTGAATAATGTTTATTAGTAATACGGCAATACTCGTGATGCGCGCATTTAATAGTGCCAACCATTATACAAATTTATATAAATGATTAATTATAAATTAATTTATATTTATAATAAAAAATATATAAATAAATAATATTTAGAAACAATAATGTAATTAAAAGCATACTTCAAATATCATATGATCGGTTCGCCATCGGTTCGACAATTCTCGCAATGGGGGACCATTGGGAAATTTTTCGGCCGAAAATCGAAGTTGCTCTGATTCGACTTATATTCAAAAAGTACATATATTATGGCTTTAATAAATCGCCACTGAATTTTCAGACGCCTCCGACTACTAGTTTATACTTTATAGCAATCTGACAAAATCGACAATTCTCGCAATGGGGGACCATTGAGAAATTTTTTGGGTAAAAATCGAAGTTGCTCTGATTTGACTTATATTCAAAAAGTACATATATTATGACTTTAATAAATCGCCACTGAATTTTTAGACGCCTCCGACTACTAGTTTATATTTTATAGCAATCTGACAAAATTGACAATTCTCGCAATGGGGGACCATTGAGAATTTTTTTGGGTAAAAATCGAAGTTGCTCTAATTTGACTTATATTCAAAAAGCACATATATTATGACTTTAATAAATCGCCACTGAATTTTTAGACGCCTCCGACTACTAGTTTATATTTTATAGCAATCTGACAAAATCGACAATTCTCGCAATGGGGGACCATTGGGAAATTTTTCGGGTAAAAATCGAAGTTGCTCTGATTCAACTTATATTCAAAAAGTACATATATTATGACTTTAATAAATCGCCACTGAATTTTTAGACCCATCCGACTACTAGTTTTTATTTTATAGCAATCTGACAAAATCGACAATTCTCGCAATGGGGGACCATCCAGAAATTTTTTGGTTAAAAATCAAAGTTGCTCTGATTCGACTTATATTCAAAAATTACATATATTATGAATTTAACAAATCGCCACTGAATTTTCAGACGCCTCCGACTACTAGTTTTTATTTTATAGCAATCTGACAAAATCGACAATTCTCGCAATGGGAGACCATTGGAAAATTTTTCGGCCAAAAATCGAAGTTGCTCTGATTCGACTTTAATACTTCTCTTCTTAGTTTTTAAGTTATTAATATATTTTTATTAGTCATTAAGTAATTAATATTTGTTATTTCCCTTTAATTTGTAGTACTTTAAAAATATGTAATAAACTTTTATTAATATTAGTCAGTTATTTTTGTTTAGTTTATAATTCTTCAAAAATATATCTGTGATATTTTTGAAAATATATTTTGTATTTCGTATGTTTTGTTCTTATTTCCAATATTAAATTTTTTTCAGATTTTTTTGCTGTATTGATTATATGTACAAATGTAGAAGTAATACCAGTAGTAAATTTACAAAATGCACATGTGCTGCCATATATAATCAAAGTTGCGTTTTTCAATTTATGTAACGACAAATCGCCAGACATAGCGATCTATTTATACGTGTTTATCTATGTTATATACTGTACAAGTGCTGCCTTCTTCAGATCGCTCTATTAAAATGAAGATAACTTCAAATGGCCTGAGATAGCGATCCATTTATGTTTATTTATCTATGGATTCTTAACAGTAAATGACAGGAATAGTAAATACGAAATATAACCTAACTTTATTGTAGTGCCATCAACGTGATTTATATTATTTATAAAAATATAATACAGGTTTGTTCTTAAACATGAAATGTATTTTTTAAAATATAACTCATTATACAATCACAATTTATATTCAGGTGCGTCAGAATACATTAACATTACAAATCATGTCTGACGATTCAGTTTTGGAATCAAAAGAAGATTCTTTTGAAAATCATCCAAACTTTTCCGTTTTTATCCTCGGAAATACAACATGTCGCGCTTGTTTAACACAGGATGAAGACATGCAACCATTATTTTGCAATCAAGAATGGTTTTCCTTCGATCCTGGTTATGATGTTCTGAATATGTTTATTTCTTGCACTGCTCTCAAAGTTGCCGCTGATGATTCCTATCCAAAACATCTTTGTAATAGCTGCTTTAAAGAACTCGTTGAAGCTTACAGTTTTTGGAAAAAATGTAGACAATCTGTTGAAGAAATGGATAGACTAAATACAGAATTGAATTCAGTAGAAAATAAACACAGGACTGATAATTTTGATGTATTGTATGATGAGCAAGAAGTTGCTATATCTACAGATGATCATCCCTATTCTGCAAGTAGAAAAACACCAAATTGTGAAGATTCAGTTATAACAAAAGAACCAGAATGCAGAGCTGATATCCAGCACAAATTAGTATCAATTTTTTTAGATAATAATAACACATTAGATGTAGATATTGATGTTGAATCAAATAATAATTCAAATAATTTTTCAGCTCATCTTAAAAATTCAGATTCAAGTTTTCTGAAAGAATATCAAAAGCCAAAATGCACCAGATGTCAATTAACATTTTCTGATAGAAAACAATACAAATATCATTGGTATAAATGCCACAGTAGACAAGCTCAATTTAAGAAATTTACTGACTCTCAGGAAACAGTAAAACAAGATAAACTAGTAATGACATCTGAATCATTTGAAGATGATGCTGAAAATTATCCTAAACAATCACCAGATCAATGTGATTTTTCCAGAATTTTTGATAATAATGAAGAGGAAACTGAAACTATTTTTATAAATAGATCTGAAAAAGATGACAAAGTAGTAGTTTTAACCAATGAACTTGAACAAAGTAGAGAGTTTGATGATGGTGTTAGCGTTGTTGATTGTTCTCCTGATTTGAATAGTTTTGACATTATTTGCCAGGATTCACAAAATCTTCCAAGCAATAAAAAAATGCACAAATGTCGTACATGTGATATTTATTTTAATACCAAAGAGGAACATAGAAAACATTACCTTATACATTCTCAACGTTTGTGTTCAATATGCGGATTCATCACTAGCTCAAGCAGTTGTTTTCAGGAACATTTAAAAATACACTCTGATTTAAGACCTTACAAATGCCAAACCTGCAATAGAAAATACAAATCTATCAGTTCATTGAAGGTTCATGAAACCACTCATATTGGCGAATTAAAATATGCTTGCAATCATTGTGACAGAAAATTTGTAACATGGTCTTCTCGATTTAGTCACATAAGAGCCAAACATACTCCTTATGATAAGCATGTTTGTGGATTTTGTTCTAAGGGCTTTCCAGATGCAAATAAGCTTAAAGTACATGTCCGTCGGCATACTGGAGAGAAGCCTTACTCTTGTGAAGAATGTGGTATGGCATTCATTGAAAGAAAGAATCTTCAAAATCATATGGTCTCACACACCGGTATACGCAACTTTGTATGCGGATTATGTGATAAACGGTTCTTACTTTCAAAGCATTTGAAACAGCATATGATTACACATACAGGCGAAAGAAAACATAAATGTGAAGTTTGTGGAAAAAGTTATACACAAGCTCAGGTTTTAAGAAACCATGCTAAAATGCACAAAAAACCTGAAGATTCTTTATCCACGATTGAAAATGAAGATTATAATTAAATTATACATTGACTGTCTGTCATAATTCAATTAAAATTGTAGAAATAAATATTTAAATTTAAAAATGTTATATTGTCATTTTATGTTATTAATGAAACTTTGAATTTATAATCAAATAAAAATAAATATAAATATTTAAAATAAATAATATAATTAAAACATTAAAGTTTGACTTTTTTTTAATTAATATGCTATTAGTGAAATTCAAACTTGTCTACATGAGATAAATATTGTAGTTGTATCTGCTTGTGTGTACTAATATTGGTATAAAAGCTGCCGTTAATAATATACGATGATAGTCCATACATTATTAATTATAGTTTAAACAAGCAAACAACTTCAAATTTCATAAAATGAATTTCAAACAAAATTAATATATTTTAGTATGATCTATAAGGCTATGGTATCTACCGTCAAAAACAATCATAAAAATCTTAGAATTTTTTTTTTAACACTTTATTACAAGAAAACGGCTCGGCCGATCTTTACCAAAAACTAATCAGCATGATTCCCAACCAATATCTTTCGAACGGTTTTTGGATTTTCAAAATCTATTCAGAATTACGGGCTGAAACGTGGACGGAAATTTTTTCAATTTTCTGCTATTTACAAAGAAACGGTTTGGCTGATCGTCGCGCAAAATTGATAAACGTTAGTCTTCATCGAGTTACATCGAATGGCTTTTGAATTTTTGAAATCGGTCCAGTTGTTTTTGGGAAAACGTTGTTTTACGGCAAAAAATCTGTTCACATACACTTTTTCCAAATTTAGTTTCATTCGATTCAGAATGGCTTGAAACGTCGAGAAAACAAAATTATCGAATCGGATATTTTGAAAACATAAACTTCCCCCTCGGGAAGTTAATAAACAATATTTCAATATTTATTCTGAGAATAATATCTTAAATTTAGCACGTCGATGGCTTTGAACGTTGTTATTACAAATTTGTTGAACTAGTTTCAAATTTGGCGCCGAGTCAAAAGTTGCAGTTGTTGCCACCACAAGATCTATCATTACGTACTTTAATATCTACTCTTCTTTAATTTTGTATCTATGCAACAGACAAAAAATATATCATCTATAATAATGATATCTATGGTTTGTTGTTTGTTGGTTAATGATTAGTGACGATCGGCATAAATTTATTTTATATGTGAACAAGTGGTGAATAAGATACAATCGTTTCTGAAATATTGTTTATTTCTATTGAGTGAATAGTGTGTTCTACTAATTTACACTACTTAGTTTCAAGTTAACTTTCATTTACTATCATTCTCTTTTAAGTTTTGAATTATTCTTATTATTGTTTTTACTAATTTAACGATGGGGGATGTAAAATCTTTCCTTCATCAATTTTGTGCTAAGAGAAAGTTAGACCCTCCTAATTTTGAAATAAGACCAACAGGTAAATAATGTTTTAAACTTTTTATTGTACTTACATAAAGTCTTGAAGTACCGGCCATGTAACAAGAAATGGTTACAGTTTACATTATTAATTTGGTTTTGCTTGAAGGTCCTAAACATAGGCAAAGGTTTCTCTGTGAAGTGCGGGTTCCAACTTTTGATTATGTTGGAGCTGGAAATTCAACAAATAAAAAAGATGCTCAGAGCAATGCTTCTAAAGATTTTATAAATTATTTGGTAAGAATGGCTCATGTAAAAGCTGAGGAAGTTCCTGATGATGCGGGTATTGAAGCTTCTGCTCAACCTGAGCCAGCACCCGCTGAGGGCACTACCCACAAAGTATTTCAGGTAGTATTGCTATTCCACAATGTATTTCAGGTATTGTTCTGTTTATGCAAATGCAAATTAAAAATAAAAATGGTCATGATTTATAAAGATTTTGTAAAACAGGATGGATTGGGTCCAAATGATTTGGGTGTGGCGTATCGCCCAATAAATGATGACTTGGATCCTGAATTTCTTAAAAGACGCAATGCTGAGAACAAGAAACTTGTAGAAGATGCTGAAGATCTTGATGTTAATGCTACGATTCATGGAAATTGGACTGTGGAAAATGCAAAATCTAAATTACATCAATTTATGCAAGTTAATAAGATTAACGCTGATTATAAATATTCAACAGTGGGGTCTGATCACTCAAGGTATTATAATTATTTGTTTAAGTAATACTCAGTAAAGGTAAAATTTAATTTCATATTTTCATTACAATATAAATCATTTTTAAAACTTTGGATTCAGTGATTAAAACATAAATTTTTAATGGTCCAAATAATGGCTTTGGAATTAAGGAGGCACATCAATTCGCAAAAATATAATTTTATTATAACTAAATAAATATTTAAAATATATAGTATTGCAAATACTAATTTTGATATGCTTTTATTTTGAAACAAAATGATTTACTAACAAAGATCTTAGTTTTTAACACTTATCGTATTTTAAATTTTTAAATGATCAAAAAGTGGAAAGAGCGAACTTTGTAACATAGCAGAAAATTTGAGAACATACCACACATTACGATACTCATGCAGGATTATGATCTTAAAAATAATTGATGATAATTCTGCATTTGCATTAATTTTGTGTTTAAAAGGAGAAATATGATTAAGTTTGAAGCAGTTTAGATGTTTCAGATCTAATCATAGAATACTTTCTGAAATAGGTTTTGTACAAATTATTTTAAAAAAATTGCTATGTTACATTGTTCTTGCTTCTGTTTAGGTAAAGTTTCTCATTCCTCTGGCCCCATTCAATATGCCTGTTATAAGGTATGTTTATTATGAAAACATGTGTGATTATAAAACTTTTTCTATAATATACATAGATTGAGCCATTGAATTTTTAATGATTATAAAAAAATGCATGTTGATTAATATAAAAATGAATTGCTAATAAAAATAATAATAATAGAACCTATTAACACTTTTTAGTACAAGGTTTTATTTTTTCATGATTTAAAACATTATTTTATTGCTAATGTGTATTATATTAAATTTTCAAGTTAAAATAATCATGTTTTTATATTTTTACGACAATTAGGAGTTTCTGTGCTGAGATGACTATATTCGTTAGACAGTTAAAAAGATCTATTACTGGTAAGTTACTTGATGCTTCAAATGATTAATTTTCAATTTCATTTTTAGCTTTTATACATAAATAGAGTAAAGATACTACTGAAACCTAAATACTATTTATACTTCTTCTCAATAAGAATATCAAAAGCTTTGATATTGATACTTAGACGTATTATTTCAAAATTTTAGGCAGAGAAACAGGTTCTAACAAACTGACCGCAAGCAAGAGTTGTGCCTTGTCATTAGTGAGACAGCTTTTTCATTTGGGCGTTATTGAACCATACTCTGGAACTTTAAAAAAAGATAAATCAAAAGAAAATCAAGTTCCTAAGTTTCCTGTCAAGATAAGTCCAGATCTTCACAATAGAATTAGGGAATGCTTGGACAAGTTGAATATTACGCCAGGAAAAATTGAACGTACTGAAAATGATAAAGCAGGTATAAATTAAAAAAAAAAAAAAAACTGGAGTAATATATATATATATATATATATATATATATTCCTATGTTTTTCAATTTTAATGTTCACATACGGTAGAATAGCTATTAATGAAAAAAGAAACAAATTTCAGCACCAATATCCTTGCTGTCCGAACATATCTTGAATGCTTTTGAAGACAGTGCACCACAAGCAGCTGGTGTTGTACCTTGGTCACCACCACAGCCTAATTGGAATCCCTGGACTGGGTGTAACATAGGTAAATAACTTTTCTTCAAATATTTCATGATTATGCTTTGCCTAATCACAAATTCATTTTCAGATGAAGGTCCCTTGGCAAATGCTTCTTTAGACGAGCTGAGTGATCAATTATTACATCATCATAGAGATCGATTACAGAATAACACTGATTTACAGAAAAGCATTAAGGAAAGAGAACAGCTGCCTGTATATAGCATGAAAGGGCAAATTATGGAAGCAATCAATGAGCACCCTGTAATATTAATTCGTGGAAATACTGGATGTGGTAAAACTACTCAGGTTAGCATTCTGTAAATTTAGATGTAACATACATGCATCATTCATTATCTATAAGAATTTGGGACATTTTTCAAATTGTTTAATTATTATATTTATTAGTTAATTTATTAATATCTTTATGAAAATTTATTTAGGTGTGCCAATTTATTCTGGATGATTACATTGCTTCTGGTTCAGGAGCTCTTTGTAACATTGCAGTTACACAACCACGCAGAATCTCTGCTATATCTGTTGCCGAACGTATAGCTAATGAAAGAGCTGAAGATCTAGGAGAAAGTTGTGGTTATTCCGTGAGATTTGAGTCTGTACTGCCTAGAGCATATGGTTCCATATTGTTCTGCACAGTTGGTGTCTTGTTGCGAAAGCTAGAATCCGGTCTTAGGGGAGTCAGTCATGTTATAATTGATGAGATTCATGAAAGAGATGTTAATAGGTAAGAAATGACAAATTCTTATGCGAGATACACATTATATATAATTAACTTCTTGAAGAAGAAGGAGAAGTTTGTTTTTGTGTAAAAATCCGATTTGTTAATTTTGGTTTCTCGGCTTTTCAAGTCTTTCTGAATTCAATGAGACCAAATTGTGGTAAAGATCGTGACGTTTCTTCATTGATGATTGATGTAACCTTGTAATATGATAGATTTTGTTGTCTGAAATAACATATTATAGGCCTATGATAAGCAGTTGAATTATAAAATATTATCAAAGTTTAGAATTTTGCTGCGAGCTTGAGCGATTCTAATCAGAATCTATGTCTAATCAGTGTTGAGGTCCACACTTAATTAAAATATATTTTTAGAATCCAAAATAGATGAAATGAAATTTGATAAACAAAGTAATTTAATTTATATGATTATGATTACAGATATTATAAGTTGTTTGATGATTCTCAATAAACCTAATACATTTTTTTGAATAATTATTATAAGCACTAATTTCGATTTTTTTATTCAAACTACTTTAATATTTCAGTGACTTTGCTATGGTTGTTTTGCGTGATATGATTCACACTTATCCAGATCTACGTTTGATTCTGATGTCGGCCACAATTGACACTACACTGTTTTCTAAATACTTTGCTGATTGTCCAGTTATTGAAGTTCCAGGTGTGTTTTTATGAATATTTTACATAATGTTATGATGTACCTGCATAATTGAAGGTTCATATGCTTTGTATTTCTTCAGGACGTACACATCCAATCCAACAACTTTTCTTGGAAGATTGTATTCAAGTGACTAGCTTCATTCCTAGTGCTGATTCGCGTAAGAGAACAAAAGCAAAGGACCAGGAAGAAGAAGGAACTATTGCACCTGAAGATCAAGATCAAGATCTCAACAAAGTTATTGATCCTTTATATGGACCTCAAGTTAAGAACTCTATGGCTCAGATATCAGAAAGAGAGGTATGTTATTTTTTCTAACTGTTCTGTCTTATTCCAGATATTTGTTTATAAGATGCTAAAAAGTCTGACTTATCTCTTTAGGTTAGTTTCGAATTGGTCGAAGCCATTTTGAAGTATATATCAGACAAAGAACCTGGTGCAGTCTTAGTTTTCTTACCTGGTTGGAATTTGATCTTTGCTATGTTGAAGTTTCTGCAGTCTCATCCAATATTTGGTACACCTAAGTATGTGATTCTGCCCTTGCACTCTCAGCTTACAAGAGAAGATCAAAGGAGAGTATTTTTAAATGTGCCAACAAACTGTAGAAAGGTAAGTTTAAATTATATTTAAGCTTATATTACAGAAGCATTTTGAATGATTCTGAAACTCAATTCTTAATTTGCAGATAATTTTGTCAACAAACATAGCAGAAACCTCAATTACTATTAATGATGTGGTGTATGTGATAGATTCATGTCGAGCAAAGATGAAGCTGTTTACTTCTCATAATAACATGACAAGTTATGCAACTGTTTGGGCTTCTAGAACAAATTTGGAGCAAAGTAAATATATCCACCAAATATTCAATACTTAATTTTTCAAGGCAGTATATCTTATGATTTAAAATTTTAGGAAAAGGTAGAGCTGGCCGTGTTCGTCCAGGAATGTGCTTTACACTCTGCTCAAAAGCTAGACATAAGGCTTTAGATGAGCACATGCTTCCAGAAATGTTCAGAACTCCACTTCATGAATTGGCCCTGACAATAAAGGTCAGATTAGCAGATTCATTTAACTTTAAGAACACACATATTTATAATGTTTTATCACTTATTGAGAACTCACTGTAAACATATTTACAGTTATTGCGCCTGGGGCCAATTGGCAAATTTTTAAGCAAGGCTATTGAACCACCGCCATTAGATGCAGTCATAGAAGCAGAGGTGTTGTTGCGTGATATGAAATGTTTGGATAAGAACAATGAACTTACACCTTTGGGGAAAATTCTTGCTAAACTACCTATAGGTAAGATAATAAAAATCAGTTTATGCTACATTCTTGTTTATAATTTAATTCTAATTTTTCTTTCTTTTTTTAATTTCAGAACCAAGACTTGGAAAAATGATGGTATTGGGGGTAATTTTCCAACACGGAGATGCATTAGCAACCATGGCTGCCAATTCAAGCACTTTTCCTGAAATTTTTGCAATGGATGATGGAAGACGTAGACTTGCCAATCATCAAAGGGCTTTAGCTGGTGATCGGCATTCAGATCATGTGGCAATGCTGAATGCTTTTCAGGTATTAAACATAAAATTTTAATATGTAATATTATTTAATATTGGAGTTATATTTAAATTAAGCATTCAATATATCTATTACATTTTTTAGATGTGGCATGACGCTTCAGAAAAAGGTCCAGAGGCTGAACAAAACTTTTGCGAATGGAAAGGTTTATCCCAACCAACTATGCGCATCACATGGGAAGCGAAGAGTCAATTATTGGGATTGCTTTCATCTGTTGGTAAGATAAACTACTTACAATTTTGGGCGAAATTTATTTTACTGAATTATACTTATTCATCATGATTTTCTAGGTTTTCCAGAGGAAAGTATGTGCCATGAGCGTCATAATGCTGTTGGACCAAATCCTAATTTGGATATGATAATGGCATTGATGTGTATGGGATTATATCCCAATGTCTGTTATCATAAAGAAAAAAGGAAGGTTAGGAAATTCTTTCAGATTTATTATTTGTTCACAGTGTTTGAATTTTTTTTATTGAAAATATTTGAGAAACTTTGTTGAGATAATATTTTGTATGACTTATTAAAATTGTATTGTATTAATTTCTTTCAGGTTTTAACTACAGAAAGTAAATTAGCACTTATTCATAAAACTTCAGTGAATTGCAGCAACATGGAGCAAAAATTCCCTTATCCGTTCTTTGTATTTGGTGAGAAAATCAGAACTAGAGCAGTTTCTTGTAAACAAATGTCAATGGTCACTCCGATACATTTGTTATTATTTGGCTCAAAGAAGGTTGATTATGTAAGTAAAATAATATTTGCTACTGTTAGCCCATTGCCCATTCAGCAGTATTAAAATTTTGATTTGATTTTTACATGTATATTTCAAAATTCTTTTGGTTTAGTCAAAGTTTTGTCAGATTATTTTATTTTTCAAGAAATCCGACTCGCTAATTTTGTTCCTGATTTGTTTCATATCAAAGTTGGAAAAAATGTCCTTGTGTGTGTAAAGTTTGTCTTATTGTAATCGTCTTCTCAAAAAATGGTGCACCGATTTTAAAAAAATCACCAGCTGACTCAAAAATTTGCATGACGATCGGCCAATTCATTTCTTTATTATTAAGAGAAAAGTGCAACATTAATCTTTCACGTTTTAGCCAAAAATCCTCCATTGATCTCTAAAATTTAAAAACCATTTGGAAGATATTAGTTGGTATCGTGTAATTAAATTAAAAAAATTTTAGGTAGCAACTTGTTTTAAGGCAAAATAGCACTTACATCTAAAATATGTTTCAGATTGATAATGTAGTACGCTTAGACAATTGGATCAATCTAGATATGGACCCCAATGAGGCTGTAGCTATTCTAGCATTGAGACCTGCATTGGAAAGTTTAGTAGTCAGGGCTAGCAGTGATCCTGAAATGATCATGCAAATGGGTGAAGAAGATGCTCAGGTAAAAATAATTAAATCTTCTACTATATAATCAAGACTCGACATTTATTATTAATTACTTTTCTGTTTACTAATTACAGGTGATTAACATAATTCGCGAATTGTGTCTCATAAACGCTGGTGATTTTGGTATTGAACGCGAATTCGTTTCGCGTGGCAGTTTCCAAGGTCGACCATTCCGTGGTGCTCCAGGTGGACGAGGAGCAGGAAAATTTGCTCGTGGTAATGATAGCGGTGGTTTTAGTGGAGGCTTTGGCGGCGGTGGTTTTAACAGCGGCGGTTACAGGGGTAGAGGAAGTTTCAATGACGGTAGAGGAGGAGGCTTCCGTGGAGGTTTTAACCGCGGCGGATTCAATGGTGGACGAGGAGGGTTTGGAAGAGGAGCCTTTGGGCGTGGATATTAGATATACGTTTCTTAGTTTTTAGTATAGATGAATTTAAAGTAGTTTTTTTTTGTAAAACTGTTTTAAGGTTTGAATGCTTTAGTTTTTCTGAATGTGTAGTACGTTTTAAGTGTTTAATGTTTAATGTAATTAGCGAAATAACAAATTAGTAATTAGATCTTTACTTTATTGTACACATAACATACTTATAAATAATTAAATGATCTTTAATATATAAAAACCAAATATATTTATATAACTTTCAATCAGGTATTATTTTTATTTGTTCGTAAACATCACTATCGCACTACTATTTAAATTTTTATAACACAAATTAAACTTTTGTATTTGTCTGCTTCATAGTAGGTAAAATATCTTTTATATTAGTAGGCAATAAAAAGGAAAATATTTTTATATTTGTGAATTCTTTCGAAAATAATTTACTGAAAAGAAAATGTTCATTACCTCAACAGTTTTTATTTATTCTTCAAATAGAGATTCCATTTTTTATAATTTATTACAATGAAAAAATTATAAGTAAGTTGGTAATAAACTCGTATTTTTATGATATTTAATTATGAGAATATGAGAATAATATTTGTATTTATTCAGTTTGAAGTTAATCTGTAAATAAATTAAACTATTTTTTTATTTTAACCAAAAATAATGAATTTTTGTCAGGTCGATCACATTTAAAATTTGCGCTCTTACTTTAAAATTCAAAATAATATCCTAGCGGCCATTTGCGATACTGGCGACATTTTACGTTTATTTACCTTACCTGGCGGACATCTTAAGCCCTATTAAGCTGTCATTAGTTTTGTGTTAAAACACGTGCACATTCTTTGTATAATTGTGTATTCATATAATTATTTAAATCGATTTTATTAATAATTTCAATTAACAATAATTGTCAGATAATTTATTACTTATGTATTCTTTGAAAGGCTACAATGTTTTTACTAAATATTTGACTATTCAATCATATTGTGAGTCACCAACTTCGAGGAATGTATTCGTGAATTGCGTAAAAACTTTACTTCGACAATTGCAAAAAATCAATGAACGTAAAAGTGAAGTGATAAGTGATTCATTGATGTGTTCCTATTTTGGAGGATTTTGGCCCACCAGGGGCTGTATATCAACGTGAGTTGACATTCTTTTTCATTCAAGGTTTATATATTTTATCAATTTTACATCTATGTCTTTTGAAAATGAGATTTATATTTAAAATATCATATAACAAGATTTTTATATAATGATTATTGTTTTATGAAACGTTCTACTACTTTCCACTGTTATCTAAGATTTCTGACTTCTATTAATAGAAAGAATTATAATTATAATTATAGCTTTTCTGACATGGATCTTTTGATTATGGCAATACAAAGTATTTTTTCTGTAATGATAATTGTAAAATTACAAAGAGACACAAACACTTTTCATAGTTCATTCTATTATTCTATAAAACTGGTTGAAATATTTTTAGAGTTACCAACGAGTACTTCGGTCGGTACATAAAATTGCCACAAGTAATTCTATATTTAGGTGTGAAGTAAAAAAAAAGTGCAAGGAAATTAAATATAAGGAACGATAAGGTTGTGCAAAGTGTAGTTAAAATTTAAACCTTGATACATTTATATTATCCTTATTTATTATTAAGTACGTTTCGTTTAGAAACAAATATAAGTAGATAGTTTGCTTCTTCAATTTAATTTCTTTCTCAAACCTCCAATACTGACTGCTTCAATCATTTACCAGGATTAATTTAACAAATCGTATAAAGATTATTATCCTCTTCCATTGATGCAGAAATTATCCATGCTCTGAGGATCATTCATACAAGCCGCAACAGTATTTCAAGTATTTTACGTCTATCACGTTAAACCGTGGAAACGCATAATTAATATTATGGTAGCATTGCAATTGTAAAATATAGGAATATAGGGTTTAACGCGCTGCCTAGTGAACCGAGTTTGAGCACCCGCTCTGGACAACCTGATATCGTGAAGTAGCAATGTACATTTTTACTTGAAAATATAGATAAAAAATAACTTTCCAGTTGAAAATAGCCCATTGCGGACAGTATATATATATATATATATATATATATATATATATATATGTATTTATGTATATACTAGATGACCCGACAGATGCTGTCCTGTACGCCTATACCCACGTCTACAATTCAAAAGTTCCAAATGTTTTAATATCCTATCCTATACTTTTTAACATCCCATTTGATGTCATGCTTTTGTGATACATTTATGGTCTTAGAATAAGTAGTATAAAAATTCAGAAAAAAATAATATAGTGTCGACGGTAAAAGAACAATATCACACTTGATTTTACCACACAACATAATTGCTTCAATAATTTAGTCTATAATTTTCATGATCTCGTACGATATATTAGTTGTTTGTTGGCAATTATGATTTATAAAGTACATTTTTCTTACTAATAATTTAATAAACATTATTGTTTATGTTTTAATCTTAGATGAATTAACTCTTTGGGGACGGCTGTCCACCTGAGTGGACAACGTACTCTGTTAGGCTATCTGTGAGGCACATACTATTTTATAAACAATGGCTCAGTGTACATTAAAACGTTGAATAGATTACATATAGCAGTGATAAACAGTGTTGTATTTTGAAAATAATTTTAAGTTATTTTAGAAGTATTTTTAGCCTTTTTCTTTGCTATATAGTCTTTTAAATATGGCAAAACCACTGGTGAATTTCGTGAAGTAAGCAGTAGAAAAAAAAACAACAAAAACCAATGTTGCACCACAATTTTGTAAAAAGTCTTAAAAACAGGCGAGGGGTGATTTTCAAAAATCTCAAACATTTCCAACTACATCGTTTTCAGACAATATACTGACTAATCAGTGGCATGTTCTAAGTGCCAGAGAAAGAAAAAGGGATGCCTTTTAGGCTTAGATTGTATTGCCTGTTCTGACAGAAAAGCACCAAGAGAATGATCAAAAAAATTTATATTATAAAAGTATGTCCTTCAATGACCACAAATTTTTATCAAACATATTGCGTAACATACACAATGAAATCAAGTACACAGCCGGTGCAGTAGATTATTTGGGAATCGGTGTCGTCCCATAAGGGTCAATATCCATCAAGTTTTGCTTTCGAAATATTTTGAGATTTTAGATCATAAAAAGGTCTCTAATTTGAGCCATAGTGGTCAAGGAATAATATATAAACACCATTAAATGTTGCTATAGATGTTCTTTGAAATCTTTCATATATTATTTTTGTTTTCTTCTTGCTTGGTCAATTGCTTCAGATCATTACTAAAAACACTAGCTGGTGCAGCTGCTTCTTGAACTATTTTGTTGGCGTCAAATCTTTCTTACGTACCTCAGCTGAAACCTGTTTATTTTGATAATTTCATTTCATTTTCGATTGGTTAAATAAGTAAATAAATATTTTGGTGAATCTTCAGGTTGAAATTAAAGAGCTGTAAACAAAAACAGCGTTAAACAAGACATAAGTAATATATGTCGCGGGTGTAGTTCCGTTGATAGCTATAAAGCTGCTGTATATAATGTGTATTAATATAGCATTAAACACATCATAATGTTTGGTTTTATTGCATTCCCTTTGTATATGTATGTTTCACATCTCGGGCTCTCTCACTTGTGACCAAAGCAAAAAGGAAAAACTAGAAGGAACGAATTGTGACACTCGACAGACAGCACAAGTGATATACTTGTTCCCTTGCTCTCACCAGGGATTTAAAACTAAAACTAGTAGTTCATGGCATCGTGCCTTATCGTGCAAATTGCTGGAACTTCCCGTACCGAAAACTAAATTATACAAAAACTTTGCAAAACTTTGAAAAAATTAGATTTTTGAAAAATTTTGAAATTACTGAAAAATTAGACTTTTTGATAAATTGGATTTTTGTTATGTTTTGATTTATTTTGAAAATTTTGAACATGTTTTTTAAGCAATCGCACTGCATAGATGATTTGGAGTCGAAATATCAAAGCGCGTGAGCCAATTATTAGATCTCCGGAGACGCTGGGCCTGCCTTTACAAAAATTTCACTAGTTGTTCATTTCGTCAATACTAGTAAAATGTTTTTTGAATTATTTATATCGGATTATTTACTTCACAAAAAGTGAAATACATATTTTTGCACTTTTTGCCCCGTATATCTGAAACGGCCAGACTTGCTTTTGCCAAAAACTAATTAGCACGTCTCCTTTTCAGTAGGAATCGAATGTTTTTTTTTATTATTCAAATCGGTTAATCAGTGTTCGCAAAATATTCGACGAAAATTTGTATCCGCACACACAAGACACACACACCAACACACGCACACACACACACACACACATCCATTTTTTCTTGGATAGATCAAAATATACAAATATCTAACAGCACTTATACTTTTTTATTTTCTTGCAATTAGCATTTTAGCAAAAAAAACTCAATTCAGAGTATTGTAAATTTGTAAGTGGAGGTTTTAGTGGACCAAGATCCCGATCTGCTTTTTGTCGTGCAGTATCCTTCTTTAATTTGAATGCCTCCCTAAAATGAAACAACCAAATAAATTATTTTATACATTTTATATATGATAGGCCGGAGCACAAAGGTCCAATTTGACTTGAGCAATTGTATCGTGAAAACCAAACCTATTATATAACAACAAATAACACATATCAAACAATCAACTATTTGACTATTCAGTAAAACTTTCAGCTAATCTATTATTATAGAAATGTGTTTTTTCTGTTTTTTTTTAAATTTGTCTACTGGTCCTTTTTACCAGGTAAAGTCGGACAGCCAGGAGGCAAACAAGTCCAATGTTTTGTTTTTGTTTAAAGGGACTTTACGAAAAATTAGCTAAATTACTCAACCAATGTAGAATATAAATTTTATTTTTTACAGAGATAACACTGCATATAACCTTCATCTGGTACTTTGTCAGAAATATTCATTAGCAGAGTTGGAAATTTTTGAAAAGATTAATTCAAATTTTCAATTAATCTATTTTAAAACTGCTATTTTTAAGTTAATGTACTTTTTTATTTACTATTTTCTTATTGGTCACACCTTTGCCAAAAATAAAGTTAGTTGGTCTAATTATACTCCATCCATATTTGTTTTTATAGAAGTTATATATAAAAAGCGGTTGAATATAACTTAAAAGTAACAATACATTTTATAAAAAAATTAAATAACGTATATATAAATATTACATTAAGG